CTTCTACTAACCAAATAAAGAAAAAGATACCAGGTGTACCGCTTTTTCTCGGCTGAAATTAATTCATTATATTATGTTACCATCTTTTTATGAGGAGTGATGATATACGTACAGGTACGGATTTACAGAACCCGTACCGATCACTCACATACACGAGGTGGGTGGATTTTTATTTTTTTTTAATACAAATGGTCCCGTGTGGGACCATTTTTTGTGACTGTTGGTAGGGGTTCTGTCAAACAGAACCCCTGTTCACCCAACATTGCTGTTTTATGAGAAGGTAGGCGGAAGAAGTGTGTATAAAAGAAAGGCTGAGGAAGGGTTACATTTCCATAGTATTAGTCTCGTCTTCTAATATCTATATAGAGAGGAGAGAGGGGAATTGAAGAGCTTCCTTTAGTCCAATATGGAGGGCGTATGCGCGATTAGAGCTAAAGGAGAAAAAAGTAGAGGGATTCATCATCGAATGCAGAAGCTGGGAAAATTAGTGAAGTATTAGACCATGCAAAAGAAATGAAGTTGTGCCTTGTGATAGTTCTGTCATTATTTGAATATTTGGAACTGTTTTTAATATTTTCTAAGGTAAAGAATTTCGATGTGAATGTCCAATATTGTACTCACTGAAAAGGAATTTTCCTTAAAACTGAAGGAAATTGATATCTATGAGTTGTTAAAAAATGGCTTTTATCTATCTTTAGTAATCACAATATTGTGAGATAAACACCTTACCTTTTATGCGTAAAGGAATTTAGCTTAAGTTTATAATTCTCTTATTGGAAAATAATTCTGCGGTAGCCTAGCTAGGTTACGGTTTAAGTTTTTCTAATTTTTTTTTTTTTATGGTGTATCTACAATATTTTAATTATTGTATAATAGTAATAATTGGGTGTGGAAACAATGTTAGTTCATCAAATACATTGTTACGCTCCGATTTTACACGCCTCAGATAGCGAAGTGTCATCTCGCATCCGAGGTCGAGATCAAGTGGACCCCGCGCAGCACCACATATTCCGACCTGAAAACGACCCTTCCGAAACTTCTCCGAAGTGATATAGCGATTCCTACTACTGATCTGCCGAAACATCTCACCTCCAAGGTCGAGATCAAGTGGACCTCGGTTAGAAGATCCGCCGTCAATTTGAGATTTGTCCTGCACCTAAGGCTTAAATTGATTTGACGTCTCCATGAGACTAGTTGATGTGACTTATCAACTTTATGTCAATTCAACTCAGAAGAAACAAACTGTCCGCCCACTTTACAAATGCGGCTGATTGACGCCTATGAGCAGACGCTTCATACCGTCAGATGTATACACGCGTTCCGCATCCAACGATTCATACCACCTATAAATACCCAAGGTTTGACAAGAGACAAAGGTAATGAAACTCTTACTACATAGCACTCCATAGCAAGTTTATATATTTTCTCCTCCCCATTTATTGTTGATTTGCATAGCCCCTAGGTACTGTTCCGATCACCCAAACCTGACTTGACCATCGGAGTGTATACGGTCACCACCACCCCCGCTGGTTCCGGCCGTGTGCGCCTGACTATTCACTGATTGTGCGCAGGGAGGAATATGTGGAGTAGCTTTCAGTTGGCCACGTGGAAGGACCAATTTTCGGGGTCAACAGATTAGCGCCGTCTGTGGAAACCACTCCCCATTCGAAGTTTTGCGTTCTTCATCGAATAAGGTACCGGAAAACCAGCGACTAACCCTGAAAAGGGAGCATTCTTGAAAAAGAACAAAGTCGAGTTACAATCCAAGTTCTCACTACCCTTGAAAAAAGAGGTAGAATGAGTTACAACCATGAAGACGACAACCCCATGAGAGAGGCCTCTGAAGAAGAGGTGCCCCATAACAATGTTACTCATCAGAGACCGCATCACCGGCATCACCGAAGCGGAAGAACAGCCATACTTACTGAAGGAATGGCTCAGATAGCTGTGGGTATGAGAGATATAGCAGCTCAGAATATGGCAATGCAAGAACTCCTCATGCAAGCCCAGGGTCACCAGAGCTATCAAAGGCCCCAAGGATCTTACCCGGTGCAGGAAATCCCTTTATCTCACTCTCGAGGCCACATGAGCCGGCACACAGAATGCCCCCTCGAAAGGGAGATGAACGCCAAAGCAACATCTTATGTGCAAGGGAGTCAGCCATCAAAACCATGCTTGGGGGACAATTTTCCTCAAGAACACGACGACCAAAGGTCGGTAAGCGTCTTCGACCGAATAGGGGAGGATCCCAGCAATAGGGTCCGCCCAGCAAGAGGATCAGTTTGTCCGGATCACGAACAAAAACATGTTCCCCCTCCCCCTCCTAGAAATAGGAGAGAGAGAGGAGGAACCAAGTCGATTGGGGGAGTCGAGGAGAAGCACCTCCACCTCCCCAGGACATCCAAGATGATGAAGGGTCAGATGGGCCCTATCGATCTTATGAGATTGACGATGATGATGATAACCTCCCTTTCTCAAGAGAGATTCGAAGCTTCCCAATGCCAGCTAATTTCATGCCCCCTAAGATCCCCAAGTATGAGGGAAAGGGGGATCCGGAGAAGCACCTCACAAAGTATATGATACAAATAAGCCTTAGGGGAGCCTCGCCTGCTCTAAAATGCAGAGCCTTCCATTTAACACTAGGCGGAGCCGCCGAGGTATGGTACAATAGGCTTCCTCCCTTAAGTATTAGAAGTTGGCCAGACTTGAAGAAAGAATTTTTGAACTAGTACCTCTCACGCAGGGAAGGAGAGGCACCAATTCAATGCCTACAAGACATGAGACAAGCCCCTGGGGAGATGCTGAAAAGCTATCTCGCCAGGTTTACAGATGAAATTACTTACTACGAACAGGTCACTGACAGGGAAGCCCTTTTAGCCCTGAAAGGTGGGCTCAACGTGAACACTTTGTTCTGGAGGGACGTGCGCAGTAAGAATCCCTCCACATATGACGAGCTGGTGGAAATGATGAGAGTGGAAATTGTTAGTGAAGAAATGATTGATCATCGCAACCATGCCGCGCAGGGACTCCCTTCTCCTCAGAGGCAGGCAAGTCGAGGCCTTGCAGCACACCTTCTTACCCAGCAATGGACCCAAGCAGGACATACCATAGCTCCCACATCCGAACAGGCCCTAGCTTCCACCACACTGAATGCAGTGCCGGTGCTGGCATATGATAATGCCCCTGCTGAAGCGGGACCATCTGGGAGAAACTGATAACAATAAGAAGAAGAAAAAGAGGTCAAACAGACCCTTGGCAGGAGCAAGGTTTTGTACATTCCATCAACTATATGGACATGACACTAGTGAGTGTCGTGATGCCAATCGACGCCCTGATCGAAGCAACCCTCACACTTCCAGCAGAAACGAACACCCTCGCAAATCCACCTCCCCGAGGAGGGGAGGGAGAGGTCACCAGGAACAATCTCCTCGGAGAACAGAATCGAGGAACCGAGGCCAATCCAGACAGGAGAACCAAGCCTAATGTTCGGGAGGCTAGGTCATCAGGGAAATCAATACCATCATTGGGGGACCCCACATCGGTGGCAACACTAGGAATGCCCAGAGAAATTACACAAGAGAAGCAAAGGATCCCCCGATGATCACTTACATTGTTAACGAATCGAAATCAGCAAACAAGATGGCCCCGATCACCTTCTCCCAGGAAGACTCAGAGGGAGTTCACCATCCCCATTGCGATGTTTTGGTTGTAAGAGCCGTAGTAGCTAGAAACGGATTAAAACGCATGCTCGTTGACAATGGCAGTTCCGTGAACATACTATTCGGCTCCACTTTTGACAAAATGCAAATTGAGCATGGGTTGATCCCTATGACCGACCCACTATTCGGATTCACTGGGGACAGCATCATCCTACGAGGGCGGATCACCCTGCCTGTCGAAATGGGTTCGGCACCCCTAGTAGCCCAGCATTTCATGGAATTTCTGGTGGTAGATCATAGATCGGCTTATCATGGAGTATTGGGTAGACCCGCTCTGAAAGATCTTTGGGCCGTGTCGTCCATTCACTATTTGTGCATGAAATTTCAAACCGAACATGGTATTGCAATAGTTCAAGGCGATCAGATGGGCTCCAGGGCATGCTACCTAAACTCACTGCACAAGTCCGAGCCCCGAACTGTTAATGTAATCCTAGCTGAGGTAACCGCTGAAGTCCGTACAGACGTGGAAATGCTCGACGCCCCTGAATAAGGGCATACCTCTGAGCAAGATGGAGATGTCGACATGGAAGAGGCCCCTGAACAAGGACACCCTCTTGATGAGTTAGACCCCCGAATAATTGATTATGAACCAAATGCGACCCCCATGGAAGAATTGGAAACTTTCCCCGTCAACCCGGAAGACCCCAGTCAGGTCTTGCGTATAGGAAAGTCATTATCACCTAAAGCAAAAACTGAGATGATACGTTACCTGAAAGAGAACCTGGATGTCTTCGCATGGAAACATGAAGATATGGTGGGAATAAATCCTAGGATCAGTTGCCATCACCTTAACATCAACCCCTCCTATGCCCCCATAGACAAAAGAGGCGTGCACTAAACCCTGAACGGTACGAGACACTGAAAGACGAAGTAAGCAAATTTAGCCGCAGTGGTTTCATCAGAGAGAACATCTATCCGAGGTGGATATCCAACCCGGTTCTAGTGAAAAACTCTAGCGAAAAGTGGAGGGTATGCATGGACTTCACAAACCTAAATAAGGCGTGCCCCAAAGGCAGCTTCCCACTTTCAAGAATTGATCAACTTGTGGACTCTACTACTGGGCATGAACTACTGAGTTTCATGGATGCATACTCAGGGTACAACCAGATACCCATGTTTCGACCTGACGAGGAAGCTACATCATTCATTACGGACAGGGGCCTGTATTGCTACAAAGTTATGCCCTTCGGATTGAAAAATGCCGGGGCCACATACCAGAGGTTAGTCAACATGATGTTTGCCGAACTCATTGGCAAAACCATGGAGGTCTACGTAGACGACATGTTGGTCAAAAGCCTCCAGGCAACCGAACACGTGGGTCACATCGACCAAACCTTTCAGATACTTAGAAAGTATATTATGAAACTGAACCCCCTCAAGTGCACCTTTGGAGTGGCATCAGGCCAGTTCTTGGGATATATTGTAAATCAGAGAGGAATTGAGGCAAATTCGGTGAAAGTAACGGCCTTACTAGAAATGAGGTCACCTCAGAAACCAAAGAAGGTCCAAAGTCTCAATGGTCGAATAGCCGCACTCAGCCGCTTCATCTCCAGAGCCACTGATAAAAGCTTGCCTTTCTTCAATATACTGAAATAAGGAAAGAAATTTCAATGGACTTCAGAGTGCGAGGAAGCCTTCCAGGCTCTGAAGAAGCACCTTGGGGAAGCGCCCCTCTTGTCGAAACCTCAATCGGATGAATCTCTATTACTGTATCTAGCAGTTTCGAACGTGGTAGTCAGCACAGTCCTAATCAGGAAAGAAAATGAGAATCAATTGCCAGTGTACTACATCAGCAAAGGACTTCTCTCAGCTAAAACACACTACCCAGACATGAAAAAATTGGCAGTCGCACTTATCACAACCTCAAGAAAGCTGAGGCCATATTTTCAAGCCCACTCAATACAAGTTCTCACCAATTTTCCTTTAAAGCAGGTAATGCAGAAAACAGACGCGTCAGGACGCCTACTAAAATGGGCTATCGAGCTCAGCGAGTTCGATCTAACGTTCCAACCTCGACACGCCATTAAGGGCCAGGCCCTTGCTGATTTTATGGTTGAGTTTACCAAAGCCCTAGAGATGGAGGCGATAATGGAACCAGCCGAGCCCCCCACATGGAAACTATTCATAGATGGGTCCTCAGGAGAGGCAGGCGCAGGGACAGGGATCGTGTTGGAGAGCCCGGAAGGCCATAAGCTAAATTGTACGGTAAGGTTCAGCTTCAAAGTCTCGAACAACGCAGCCGAATACGAGGCCCTTCTGGCAGGTCTAAGGCTCGCTAAGGAAATGTGGGTCAGGAAGCTCCTAGCGAGCAGTGACTCTCAGCTCATAGTAAATCAGATAAATGGGAATTTTGCAGCCAAAGATGGTAATATGCTTGCGTACTTGAAGTTGGTTCTGGACACAATTTCTCATTTTGAAAGGTTCGAACTGACTCAAGTACCCCGTCTAGAAAATGCACATGCAGACGCCCTCTCAAAATTAGCCAGCAGCATGGACTTAGAGCTGCTAAACATCATCCCCATTGAGCACTTATCAAAGTCCTCCACCTCCGAAGGCGAAGAGGTACTGTGGATAGAAGGCACCCCATTATGGATGCAGCCCATCATCGTGTACCTGAAGGAGCAAACACTGCCTGCTTCCAGAGGCGAGACGAAGAAATTAAGGAGAAGGGCTACACACTTCGTCCTACAAGAAGACACCCTTTACAAGAGAGGTTTCGCTTCGTCCCTTCTTCGATGTGTAGACGGCGAAGAGGCCACATACATACTCAGAGAAATACATGAAGGAATTTGTGGAAACCACTCCAGAGGAACGGCTCTGGGACACAAGGTTCTCCGTCAAGGCTACCTCTGGCCGACCCTGAAAAGGGATGCTTGCCAATTTGTCCAGAAATATGACAAGTGCCAGCACTTCTCGAACATACAAAGACAGCCTGCCCAGAGCCTCTCTGTAGTAACCAGCCCTTGGCCATTCACCAAGTGGGGCATTGACTTCATTGGTCCACTCCCAAAAGGGAGAGGAAGCTCAACTTTCGTTATTGTCGCCATTGACTACTTCACTAAGTGGGTCGAGGCAGAACCCCTTGCCCGAATTACCGAGGCTAATACTATCAAGTTCGTTTGGAAAAACATCATTTGTAGATTCGGCATCCCCCACTCCTTAGTCTCTGATAACGGACGGCAGTTCGACAATAGGAAGATGCGAGACTTATGCGACGAATTGGGTTTAAAGAAGGACTTCTCGACACCTCATCACCCCCAGGCAAATGGGCAATTTTGAAGCAGTGAACAAGACTATTAAACACACCCTGAAAAGGAAACTAAATACCTCAAAAGGGGCCTGGGTTGACGAACTCCCCCACGTCCTCTGGGCTATCAGGACTACTTGCTGGACTGCAACCGGTGAAACCCCATTTTCCATGATCTACGGAGCCGAGGCAATGAGTCCGGTCGAAGTTGGGGTCCCATCACATCGACGGATACATTTCAATGAGATCGGCAACGATGAGGCCCGAATGAGTGAACTACACCTCCTTGAGGAAAAGAGAGATACCTCCCAAGTGACCTTGGCGAGGCAGAACCCCTTGCCCGAATTACCGAGGCTAATACTATCAAGTTCGTTTGGAAAAATATCATTTGTAGATTCGGCATCCCCCACTCCTTAGTCTCTGATAACGGACGGCAGTTTGACAATAGGAAGATGCGAGACTTGTGCGACGAATTGGGCATAAAGAAGGACTTCTCGACACCTCATCACCCCCAGGCGAATAGGCAAGTTGAAGCAGTAAACAAGACTATCAAGCACACCCTGAAAAGGAAACTGGATACCTCAAAAGGGGCCTGGGTTGACGAACTCCCCCACGTCCTCTGGGCTATCAGGACTACTTGCTGGACTGCAACCGGTGAAACCCCATTTTCCATGATCTACGGAGCCGAGGCAATGAGTCCGGTCGAAGTTGGGGTCCCATCACATCGACGGATACATTTCAATGAGATCGGCAACGATGAGGCCCGAATGAGTGAACTACACCTCCTTGAGGAAAAGAGAGATACCTCCCAAGTGACCTTGGCCAAATATCATCGAAAGATGACCCGCTATTACAACTCCAAGGTCAAAAACAGAACTCTTCGCTTGGGTGACCTCATCCTCAGAAGAGTTATCCAATCTTCAAAACCAATCGGGTCAGGAGTGTTCGGCCCAAACTGGGAAGGCCCTTATCGCATCCGATGGGAATCCTGACCTGGTACCTTCGAAATCAAAGATATGTCAGGAAGGGCGCTGCCTCATAAGTGGAACATTGAACACTTGAGGAAGTATTACCAAATAATGAGACTGTGTTCCAATCCGATCTCAATATGTTATAGTGAATCGATTGTCCTGATTTGATCTCAGCAGTAAAATTCCCTAAGTGATGGAATCGCCTTTGTAAAGGGTGGTGTAATTTATCTTAGTAATGAATATTCAGTTCCAAGCCACATCAATTAGTGAATAGTTTCCTCAGTACTTCAGAAGGTTCATTTAAGCAATCCGATCGTCAATTATTAGCTGATTAACATCAAGCAGCTCTTCATGTTTGCTTAATTGGTCTGATCTCAGATTATTAACAAGTTGGCATTAAGAGTTGCTTCATACTCGCTTAAGTGTTTGAACTTATGTTAACTTGAGCGGTCCGGTCCATAGTTATTAACTGGTTATTGTCGCGAGGCAATTAGTCTGACGTTTGTCGTTCATACAAGTATAAACAGAGAAAATACAAAGAAGCAGAAGCCCAAATACTTAACGAAAATTTTCATTTCATTTCATAAATTTAAGTACAGTGGGGCCGAAGCCATTACAAGATAACCCTAATCTGTTGGAGGGACTTCAGCATTGGCAGCCTCCTGGGCCTCCAGAGCCTCCTCGACAACCCTATCAGGCCGACCTCCAGTTGGCCCCCCAAACTCTACCTCTAATGAAGAGATGTCCAGAATGGGATGCACCTCCTTCAGTCGACCCAGTAAGGTTTGGGTACTCCGTGAGGCCCAGAAGTTGGCGAAGTCGTCGTACAGGGGATGGTCTTCAAAGTGGTCAATAAAGTTCTGGACTGCCACCTCCCCCGCAGACTTCAATTCCTCCTTCAAAGATGCAATCTCTTTTGACTGGGCCTCTGTCTGCTACCTCAGCTCTGCCTTTTCTTTGTTGGAGGCCTCCAGAGCATTGGTGGCGAGCTTGTGGTGCTCATTGGCGTGATCAAGTCATCGAGTCACAGCAGCCACTTGGCATTCCACCTCATACAGCTCTTTCTTTAGCCACTCCACTTTTGCTTGCGCGACAGTAAGTTGGGCCTCAGCAGCTTTCTTCCCCTCCTCTGCCTTTGTGGCTTTGGCCTAAGCCGCCCGTATGGCATCCCCATAATGCATCACCTCCTCGAGGCGCTTGGCGAGGTCCTCCCTCTTAGAGTTCAGATCCTTCACTAAGCCCTCAAGCTGGATGTTTGTGCTTAGGGCCCGAGCCACACAGGCACTGTTCGCGACCACCAGATCCTCAACCGTGTAGGAGGCGGTGTGGTTCCTCCACTCTTCCGTCCAGTATTTATTGTGGACCACCGCCACCGCTGCTGTTTCGGGAGGAAGAGCCTCCAACACCTCCCTTACGAGCTCCTCAGGATTGGTGCCCAGAAAGTCGACCTCCTTAGAGGGACGGGGCCTTTTTCTCTTCTGCTGCCCCGGAGCTTAATCAATGGGCACTGCAGCAAGGGGTGTTGTGCTCGGGGCAGCGACAGGCACAATTGGAGTGGGCCTTCTCTCTGGGAGGGCCACCCTCGTGGGAATTGTGGTCTGCCTCAAAGCTGGGGGTGGCCTCGCCACAGTTGGGCGTCTGGGAGGGGCGGCACTTTTCTTGCCCTTCCTTCAGAGGTCAGCCTCCGGGTCCTCCGATACTTCCTCCTCCATCGGAGGCTGGAGCCTCTTACTGGCCTCCACCAACTCCTCCATTTGCTTTTTGTACGAGGAGGAGGAGGCCTTCAACGCCCGTGCCTCAGCCATCATCTTCTGGATGGTCTTGAAGTCGGGGCACACTGGCAGCTTCTTGTTGAAGCTATCTGCAAAGAAGTAAATAAGGAATTAGTACAAGTCTTGGGAGTTCAGAATAAAAAGTAAAGACTTCGGTCCTATTACCTTGAGATGCCATTAAATCGTGAGTAATAAAATGGATGTTCTTTCGGATCAGCCTGTGGTAGTACCTCTTCTTTTGAGGCAGCTGATAAATGACACAGATGGTGTCGAAGTCCTCCGTTGACAGCTCGCACCGGGGAAGAGAACCTACAAAGGGAACATAACTGTTAGACACAATTCGAACCGAAGAGAAATAAAAAAAAGCAACTACTACTATACTCACTAAGTGTTGAAAACTTCGTTGGAACTGTAAGAGGCGCCAGGGGGTCCCCCTCCATCGTGTCCCATCGTCCTGCTGCCCAGCACCATGAGCTCTTCCATTCTTTGATAGAGTTAGGCAGATCGACCACGAATGGAGTGTGGGAACCCCATGACGTAAGGTAATACCACCCCCGAGTCTTATCCCCCCCGGCAGTAACCTTGGGAATATAGAGGGTCTGGAAAATGGAAAGGGGTATCTCCACCCCTAATGACGCCTCTTTCCACAACATCCAGGAGCCCACCATCTGGCTCCAAGAGTTCGGATTGAGCTGCATCGGGGCTAGCCCATAGGACCTAAGCAGTAACCTAAAGAATGGGTGAACAGGCAGCTTAAGTCCGGCCCTAAGGATCGCCTCACTAATGGCCACACAGCCCGGCCTAGGGTAGCAGACTCTCTCTTCCGGCCCGAGGAGGATCAAGTCTACGCTGTCAGGGATCCTATACTCTGTCCTAAGTCTCCCCAGGTCGGCCTCCCTTAATTTTGATAGGTAGTCCGACGCCCCCCAATGCACAGAGGTATCTGGTGGGCTATCCGGTCGTTTCCATATGTTCTCCCCCCTCCCATTATTGCCTCGGCTATTTCTGAGGAGGTCGCCACAATGGGCTCGTCCACCCTCACTATTTCTAAACCCCTCCCCGGACCAGAACTCCCCTCTGAGGCCATTCTTTAAAAATTTAAAAGCCTAAATAGTGCTGAAACTTACGGGTTTGGAGGTTTTCCTAGCTGGAAATGGTGTAAGGTCACCGGAAGTGTAGTTTTTCTGGCCGGAAGTCTAGTTTTTCTCGTCGGAATTGCTTGCAAAAGGCCGAAAATCGCCAAAAATTTGAGAGCAAAGTATAATCTTAGTTTTGCAAGGGTAGAAAGCCTAAGAAAACCCCAGAGTCCTCCTTTTATAGAAAAACAAATCCGATCTCCACCGTTGAAATGAAATACCAGATTTGATCTACGCCCAAGATGTCGCTGTGACTTTCACGCTTGCTTGAAACGTGTTACCTCAATTACAACCAGCCATCAATAATAATTAGTAGCCGCAACAGCCTTTTAGGAGAATGGGCATGGCACCCAACTGTCACCTTGAAAACACGCAACAATTGTCAAATCATTTGACGTTTGAGTCGCCTCGGAATGAGCTCCTCTTCCAAATTTACAAAGTTTGAACGCACATGACGAGAAGGCCCTTTTGGGTCATCGCCTCGGACGTTGCGTTTCCTCCCATGCTTTTTAAAGTTTCAGCCATCTCCCAACGCGTCGCCCTTTTGAGTCAGCGCACCGGTGGCAGATGAGCTCTTCCTTCAACTTTACAAAGTGTGGACGCACCTGGCGCGAAGGCCCTTTTGGGTCATCGCTTCGGACGCTGCGTTTCCTCCCATGCTTTACACAGTTTCAGCCACCTCCCAACGCGTCGACCTTTTGGGTCAGCGCACCGGTGGCAGATGAGCTCCTCCTTCAACTTTAAAAAGCTTGGACGCACCTGACGCGAAAGCCCTTTTGGGTCATCGCCTCGGACGCTGCGTTTTCTCCCATGCTTTACAAAGTTTCAGCCACCTCCCAACGCGTCGACCTTTTGGGTCAGTGCACCGGTGGTAAATGAGCTCCTCCTTCAACTTTACAAAGCATGGACGCACCTGACGCGAAGGCCCTTTTGGGTCATCGCCTCGGACGCTGCGTTTCCTCCCATGCTTTACAAAGTTTCAGCCACCTCCCAACGCGTCAACCTTTTGGGTCAGCGCACCGGTGGCAGATGAGCTCCTCCTTCAACTTTACAAAGCATGGACGCACCTGACGCGAAGGCCCTTTTGGGTCATCGCCTCGGACGCTGCGTTTCCTCCCATGCTTTACAAAGTTTCAGCCACCTCCCAACGCGTCAACCTTTTGGGTCAGCGCACCGGTGGCAGATGAGCTCCTCCTTCAACTTTACAAAGCTTGGAGCACCTGACACGAAGGCCCTTTTGGGTCATCTCCTTGGACGCTGCGTTTTCTCCCATGCTTTACAAAGTTTCAGCCACCTCCCAACGCGTCGACCTTTTGGGTCAGCGCACCGGTGGCAGATGAGATCCTCCTTCAACTTTACAAAGCTTGGACGCACCTGACGCGAAGGCCCTTTTGGGTCATCGCCTCGAACACTGCGTTTCCTCCCTTGCTTTACAAAGTTTCAGCCACCTCCCATCGCGTCGACCTTTTGGGTCAGCGCACTGGTGGCAGATGAGCTCCTCCTTCAACATTACAAAGTTTGGACGTACCTGACGCGAAGGCCCTTTTGGGTCATCGCCTCGGACGCTGCGTTTCCTCCCATGCTTTACAAAGTTTCAGCCACCTCCCAACGCGTCGACCTTTTGGGTCAGCGCACCGATGGCAGATGAGCTCCTCCTTCAACTTTACAAAGCTTGGACGCACCTGACACGAAGGCCCTTTTGGGTCATCGCTGTTCGCGAAATATTTCTTTCGATTTAAACTACCGCAAGTGTACGGATCGTGACAAGTAATAAAGTGGACTTTAGAAGTCCGAGTATCGTCCCACAGAAAAAGAGTAGTTTAATTTTATTTATTTTAGCCTTAATCGAAACTAATTGACTTAAGATGAGTTTTAGAATGAAAAGCCCTAATTTTGGGAGAAATCCCCAAATTGAAAAGTCCTAATTTCAAATCAAACCCTAATTACTTAAATACACTTAACGAATGACTCAATGACGAAATGTTATGAAAGTAAATGAAATGTAAAGTCAATTTATGAAAATCTATGTAAAACGAATGCACTAGGATCACGAATCCCCAAATAATTATTAAGTAACCCCTAATCATGATAAAAATAACGAAATCTATTAAGTTTTGAATAAAATACATAACCGGGTTATCAAAACTTGAAGAAGTCTTGTAAATCTTCGCATCAATCCTTGTTCTTGCCTTCAAATCCTCTCCAAAACGAATGTTTTTGCCTCCCAATTCATTCGTGCGGCTTCTGGATGTTTATTTGCTGTTTAAACCCATCGAAATTAGGTTACCAAAGGAGTTGCAATCATATACGAAAACTGCAAAAATCGGGCACAGGTTATACCTATGCGACTGCATAGTTATATGAAATATGGCGTTTTTAATCCCTGGAGGGTTACTCACGACCGCATAGGTTTTCTACTATGCGACCGCATAGTAGAATAAACTTCTAAATTGAGTCATTTTGATCCTCAAGTTTCATTCTTTCACTCCTTGACCTCCTCTCTTATTTCTAGTTACTCCAATGTTCCATTATTGGTGCTTAGCTTGATCAATTGCTTGATGTGTTCATCGGATCATCTTTCAAATAATTGCAATTTGGTCCCTGAATTTTCATTTTGCTCCAATTTGGTCCTTTTTCGGCTCTTTTCTCCTGAATTCCACTATTTCCATAGAATCACCTACATTGCATGAATTCGACAAAATTAAGTAACAATCCAATCATCTTACTTGTATTTAAGTCATGTTTGTGATGTAAATAAGTGTGCGAAAACACACTTATCAATCGCCTCGGACGCTGCGTTTCCTCCCATACTTTACAAAGTTTCAGCCACCTCCCAACGCATCGACCTTTTGGGTTAGCGCACCAGTGGCAGATGAGCTCCTCCTTCGACTTTACAAAGCTTGGACGCACCTGACGCGAAGGCCTTTTTGGGTCATCGCCTCGGACGCTGCGTTTCCTTACATGCTTTACAAAGTTTCATCCACCTCCCAACGCGTCGACCTTTTGGGTCAGCGCACCGGTGGCAGATGAGCTCCTCCTTCAACTTTACAAAGTTTGGACGCACCTGACGCGAAGGCCCTTTTGGTTCATCGCCTCGGACGCCGCGTTTCCTCCCATGCTTTACAAAGTTTCAGCCATCTTCCAACGCGTCGGTCTGTGGGGTCAGCGCACCATATTCACGAAGCTTCGATGCACCTTACGCGAGGTTCCATGCTAGTTGACCACCTCGTACGCTATGCACAATAACAAAACTTTGGCACGTCTGCCTGTTATCATAACCTCGATTGCTACAACAGATCAACCCCTAAAACTCCCATGACTTGCGGTCCGGTCAGGAAAGCAAGTCCACGCATGATATAAATATTCATCCCCGGACTTGGGGGACCACTGTTACGCTCCGATTTTACACGCCTCGGATACCGAAGTGTCATCTCGCCTCCGAGGTCGAGATCAAGTGGACGCTATGCAGCACCACATATTCCGACCTGAAAACGACCTTTGCAAAGCTTCTCCGAAGTGATATAGTGATTCCTACTACCGATCTACCGAAGCATCTCACCTCCGAGGTCGAGATCAAGTGGACCCCGGTTAGAAGATCCGCCGCCAATTTGAGATTTGTCCTGCACCTAAGGCTTAAATTGATTTGACGTCTCCATAAGGCTAGTTGATGTGACTTATCAACTTTATGTCAATTCAACTCAGAAGAAACAAACTGTCCGCCCACTCTACAAACACGGCTGATTGACGCCTATGAGCAAACGCTTCATACCGTCAGATGTATACACACGTTCCACATCCAACGGTTCATACCACCTATAAATACCCAAGGTTTGACAAGAGGCAACAGTAATGAAACTCTTACTACATAGCACTCCATAGCAAGTTTATATATTTTCTCCTCCCCCTTTATTGTTGATTTGCATAGCTCCTGGGTACTGTTCCGATCATCCAAACTTGGCTTGACCGTCGGAGTGTATACGGCCGCCACCACCCCCGCTGGTTCCGGCCGTGTGCATCTGACTATTCGCTGATTGTGCGCAGGGAGGAATACGTGAAGTAGCTTTCAATTGGCCACGTGAAAGGACCAATTTCCGGGGTCAACATACATAATATTTTTGGTATTACAATCAATAATCGGTCGTAATATGTATTGTGATACTAGTCCAGGGCATTGCATTAATGTAAAAACTTAAATACATTAGTCGCATTTTCTTCATTATAGTTTCATATTTATTTTTGTTTTGTTTATTAAATTTAAGAATGTATCTGACTTTCCATCAACACAACATTCCTAAAAATTGAACGCAAGATATCTGTTTGTAAAAATGTGTTGTCACAAAGCACTGAAATTGAAGTATCAAAACTCAAGATGCACTAACTTTATTAGAAAACTCTTTTACAAGAAACAGATACTTTGCCAAAACTGAAAGCAACAACTTCGAACACTACCAAAAAACGCGGCTTTAGCGACAGATTACATAATGTGTTGTCACAAAGCACTGAAATTGAAGTATCAAAACTCAATGATGCACTAGCTTTATCGGGAAAGGCTCACTATAGCTAAACACTGTCTAATAGTATTCAGCCTACACGAGCCCCTGGGGCGAAGGCTGCCCATCTCCCTCTGCTTCACCACCTGGGTCACCCAGAATGGACTGAAATCCATTTATTACGTAAACGCTTTTCCGAAGAAAGCATGGAATGAGTTTGCCCCTTTTTCGGTTGGTTTTCGTGCACCCCTCGAGGTTCAACTCTTTTACAAGAAACATATACTTTGCCAAAGCTGAAGGCAACAACTTTTAATTAAAACAATTTAAACACGCCTCTAATCAGATGGTTGAAGGGCTAACCCTAAATTTTTGCCTTAACATGAGAAATATTAGAGGATACAAATATGAAATCGGTCCTTTATTTGCTTCTGTGCTAACAAAGAATCCAGTTATTAGCTAGGGTTATGAATATAATTGTCAATCTAGAGCCAAAATATTCCATGTGCTTTATCATCCAAGAACCGAATCTACATATAGATCAGGGTCCCAGATAACATTAGCACAATTAACCCAATTGTTGTTCTCATAGTAAACATTCTGGTCCAACGGAGAAACCCAAGATGTTGATCCACTCTCTTGTACAATATCCCCTTTTCTCTTGTCATTTCTAAGCAATTCGCCTAAGGGATTACTCGTGTAAGACAAATCTAGAGCAGCTTGATTTATGTGCGATGCTGGCCATGCACCATTTTTGGCAGTATTGATCAAGGAGGGATCCTGGTGTACAAAACTCATATCTGATGTCCACGGCAATTTGTTCTCGGTTGGCCATCCCGGAGTCGTGCCTAGTTGACTCTCTTGCATTCTGATGGATTCAATTTGATCATGCCAATGATTATGATGGTGATGATGAGCTGGTTCTAACTGAGTAGATATAGCAGCTGCTCCGGGAGCACTGCAAGATAGAATTGGATTGACAGCAGGCATTGTGGCAGATGATTGTCTAATTTTTGACGAATTTGGAAGAGAAATTCCAGGAAGGCTAAATTGCATATTAGAAGACGAACTGTTTTGATTGAACATACGGGAGCTCTTTTGTTTAAAAAGTTTTGCCTTGAGTGCACCAACTAGTCCTTCAGGCTCTTCTGTTCTACACATTGCGTCAAACGAAAAAGGCTCCGAATTCTCAAGCATACTAGAATCCGATGGCAATTCAAAGTTGGTGCGAGCATTCGCACCTCTGAGTTGACGAGCAGCGTTATCATAGGCTCGTGCTGCGTCTTCTGCTGTGTCAAAAGTTCCGAGCCAGAGCCTTACCTTTTGTAGGGAGTCTTTGATTTCAGCTACCCATCTTCCGGATGGCCTTTGGCGAACGCCCACAAACTTGTGGTGCCCCCTTGATGACGCCTTCCTTCTGCCTCGTGCGCCTTCATCACTTCTTGGAGCTTGCTTCATGTAGCTAGCTATTTGTTCTTGCTCTTCCTGATGTTTTAGATAAAATTGTACACATAATAAACTTGTAAAGCTTACTCTTGCTTCCTTGAAAAGTTCAAGATTAAGATGGAATAATTCCTTATATCATTGACATGAAGAGGAGGCATATACCAGCATCACAAGAAAACACATTGCAAAAGTCCAAAAACGGTAATGTAAGCCGTTAATCATAATATAATTTTGATATCACTAATGCAGGCCTTCTTGTTTGTATCGTCAAAAATCCGACAATCTGTATCTATCAGAGGAAAAAATAATCATGTAATTATAATATACACACTTGTTGTTCTGGCATTTGAAAGAGTCAAATTGGAGAGGGCCCATAAGAAGGAAACTGAGAGAAGCTAGAGACACATAGACTATGCAAATACCATAGGCATGCCTAATACAATACCAACAAAGTAACTATCAAAACAAAGACGAGAGATGCACATTTTTAAAGAATTGTGCCTTTGGTACATCACCCTTTTTTTTTTAATTACATTATGGTTAACATCGTCCATGTTGTCGAGAATTGATTGGATGAAAAAAATTTGTTTTATTTTAAAACTTTCCAACAGTATAATGATGTGTGGCAAAGTGTAAAAGATCGTGTAAAATATAATATGCACCAAGCATTGTTGATTTTTAAAAGTTGTCAATGAGACAAACGTTTCTGCTTTATCATAACCTTTCAAAAGAAACTATTTAATAGATTGGTAGTCGAGAAGACAATTTTCGATTCTAAATATAACGTACATCCCTTGTCATGTGTACTTTTCCATGCTCATTATCAATTTGGATAGGTTGAGGAAGTCGTGCAGAAGGAAACAAAGGGATAATTTCACCTACTCTTGGCCTTGCCAAAAGGGTGTGTACACAAACTATAAAACTTTAAGCTAGGCTGAAAAAGTCCATATAGGAGGTTAGGTTGATTATACTTAGATTCTTGCTTAATAGTAGTACTGAAATAGAAATGTTGGTACTACCTTACAATCGTGTAGAAACATAAAAGCATATGAAAGCATAAAAACGAACACTGTTGACGTTGAAATGTATTGAGAGATTTACGTCAATTGGAAGAATCTTGATTTAATTTTGGAAAATATATATATATTTTTTGTTCTTAAGATTTGAGTTTCTATCTTGAAAAAGTTAAACTTATTTAATTCAAAGTGTTATACATTGATTAGTAATTTGAAAGAGCCAATTTGGACTTTGGAGGGCCCATAAGGTGGAAATCAGAAACTTAGAGAAGCTAGAGACAACATAGACTATGCAAATAGCATAGGCATACCCAATACAATTCCGACAAAGTAACTATCAAGAATAAAGACGTGAGGTGGAAATTTTTAAAAGTTGTCAATGAGACAAACATTTCTCCTTTATTATAACATTTTAAAATAAACAATTTAATAGATGGGTAGTCGAAATGAAAATTTTCGATTCTAAATATAACGTATGCCCCTCGTCATGTGTCATGTATACTTTTCTACGCTCATTATCAATTTGTATAGGTTGAGAAAGTCTTGAAGAAGGAAACAAAGGGATAATTTCAAATACTCTAAGCCTTGCCAAAAGGGTGTGTACACAAACTATAAAACGTTAAGCTAGGCTAAACAAGTCCATATAGGAGGTTAGGTGGATTGTGCTTAAAATCGTGTAAAAACACATAAAAGCATAAGAACTAACGTTGTTGACGTTGAAATGTATTGGGTGATTTACATCAATTGGAAGAATCTTGATTTGATTTGGGGGAAAAAAAAAATTGTTCTTAGAACTTGAAACCTATACATTGATTAGTATATTTATACTAAATCAGAGTGAAATTTTTATCATTAATATGCCCTACAAAATGGCGACTTGTTGAACGCTCTAATGAATCTGGCTAAGTGATTATAGTCATTTATAGTGTCTAGTAGATTTAATATTTAATTTAACCATCTAAATTAATGGCTTTTTTTTTTCTTTTTTTTTTTTTTAACCATAAACCTTTATTCAAGCTGATCGTTGCAAACTGCAAACGACAACCAAAATGGAATAAAATTAGTAGCAAGAGAAGGAAGTTTATGTGGCACTCATTTTCCTCACGGGGCGTGAAGCAACACGTACCGTATAATTCTTTTATAATGTAATGGCCAAAATAATTTTTTAAGGCCCATAAAATAATCTCAAAATTTATCTTTCAGTCAAAACACGAAACGTCACAAATCACTCCTATCCTCGACTATTAATAATGTAATTTTTAACCATTGCCTCTAATATATTCTAACCATTTATAGAAGATCCATATCAAATTTGACGTAAGATCCCCAAAATTTCAAGACCGATCCGACCACCTCTGGCAAAAGTGATAGAATAGCCAACATTATCAATGCATCAGCTGCCAACTTCTTATCTAACTAAAGGTTTTGCATCACGCGAAGAGCATTTCATTTGGTAATGTCACTTGTAGACTTAATTATGGGCACTCATTTTCCTCACGGGGCGTGAAGCAACACGTACCGTATAATTCTTTTATAATGTAATGGCCAAAATAATTTTTTAAGGCCCATAAAATAATCTCCAAATTTTCTTTCAGTCAAAACACGAACGTCACAAATCATTCCTATCCTCGACTATTAATAATGTAATTTTTAACCATTGATTCTAATATATTTTAACCATTTATAGAAGGTCCATATCAAATTTGATGTAAGGTCCCCAAAATTTCGAGACCGATCCTACCACCTCTGGCAAAAGTGCTAGAATATCCAACATTATCAATGCATTAGCTGCCAACTTCTTATCTAACTAAAGGTTTTGCATCACGCGAAGAGCATTTCATTTGGTAATGTCACTTGTAGACTTAATTATACTTATGGCCTATCACTTATGCTGTCATTGATCCCAATGATGAAATCCATTTATGTGACCATTGAAAAGTCAACTTTTTTTTTTCAGTATGGAGGTGACAATATTGTCTCGAATACACGAAGAGTAAGAATCAAATTGACGACAATGATTTTCTCCGTTAGAGATGGAATACTATTAAGAAGCTCGTTGTTGGAAATTTTCCTTAAAGTGCAGATAACTACATAGTCTGACAAACAATTCCAGAAACTAGATTAATTCTCTGGTAAACTTGATACCGAAGGGTGAACTTATTTCAAACATAACCTTAAACAAATCAAAATCAAGAAAATTAGTATGACTAAACATGAAATAATCCAATACAAATTTAGTCATAAAAAGGAATTTAGTTACCATGGTTTATTTTTAAAGACTAGGATTTTTTGAATGCTTTGTCATATAACAACCGAAGGTACAAATAGATGGTTAGGGTCCCAGACAACATCAGCTTCATTAAACCAATAGTTGTTTTCATACTGTATATGTTGTAAGTCTAACGTAGAAAGTGTTGATCCACTGACTTGTACGATATTCATATCCCTATCGTTTGTAAGCAATCCACCAATGGAATTACTTGGGTAAGACAAGTCCAAAGCAGCTTGAGATGCATGAAATAGTGGCCAGGCAGTATTAATGATTGGGGAGCTCAACTCGTCATCGACTCGACTCTTCGGTGATACCCAATTGGGTACGTCGTGCTCGCTTGAAGTCGTGCCAACAAGATTATTCCTGTCATGAAGCTGCATTTCAATAGAATCATGGTTATTTGGCATCAAATTAGTGATGTTTTGAGTTGGATTGGAAACCCGAGTCAAAGATTGTCGAATACTTTTTGCGTTATTTGGACATGAATTCAAAGCTCCAAGAAAGCTCAATTGCATGTTAGATGAAGAGTTGCTCTTTTTATTAGATAGTTTGGCCTTGAGTGCACCAATAAGCCCCTCAGGCTCTTCTGTCTTGCACATTGCATCAAAGGAAAATGACTCCATCTTCTCAAACAGGATAGAATCAGATTCAGCCTGAGACAATTCAAAGTTGGTGCGGGCGTTTGCGCCTCTGAGTTGACGCGCTGCATTGTCGTAGGCTCGTGCTGCATCTTCGGCCGTGTCAAATGTCCCGAGCCAGAGTCTAACCTTTTGTAGGGAGTCTTTGATCTCAGCCACCCATCTTCCTGATGGCCTTTGGCGAACTCCAATGAACTTTTTTTGTCCGGATGACGTTTTCTTTCTGCTGCGCGCGCCTTGATCGCTCGTTGGTGTCTGCTTCATGTAGCCTATATAACTAGTGATCGTTGGTTTGAACCTGTTGGCATGGTAGTTTCTTAGAAGATTTATCTTTTATTTCTTGAACCAGTTGAGATATTTTGAAGAATTCTTATGTTGAGGACAAGAAGAGAAGGGATATATAAGCAAACATTTCACAAGTAGACAGAGTGCTACATGGCAACTACAGCATGTAATCGTTGATAATGATGCAATTCCGATATCATCAATATTGTAGGCCTTGTTAATTCCGTCGAGGATGAGCTGTAAATTTGTATGGAGAAAAGAAAAAGCCATCCTATAAATATTATAAACGGCTTAAAGGAATTAACGTTAATGAAATTGATTGGCCTCACAATTTAAAAAAGTTATATATAGAGAACAAGGAAAAGAAAAGGAGACAATAACCACACAAAAAAAAAAAATAATAATAAAAAACTAAGACAAGACAAAAGGTTGTTCTTGAAATTAACTCTTGGTTCAAGCCCCAGGAGCTGCATCCTTTGTTTTTCCGTGCCAGTAGTCACCGTACTCTCTGGCGTAATCCTTCATGTGGCTCGCCGTATCAGCAATTCGGCTTCTGGCGTAATCGACCCTATCGGAGCCAGGCGGGTGAAACCCTCTGAAATACCTGTACAGCCAAGAAATGACCGCCGCAGCACCAATCCCGAACCCCGAAAAGGAAAGAAATCCAGCAATGACGAGGAAGATGATGGTTCCAACAGGGACCCATATGGGGCTAGAAATGAGGATCAAAGGCGTGAAGAAAATAAGCCCAAGAACCGTAATAGTCAATGTTAGGCCAGTAAGAAGAAGCAAAATGCTGCCAGAGATGACAAGAGTCATGAACCCAACGAGTTGGGTTGAATTTGGGGAATGCAGCTGCAGTTTATGTAGAAAGGATCTGGTATTGCTGGCTCTTGCATGCTGCGGCCTCTGAGATTGATCCGCCATTGTCGAGTAATTGGTGGGGGGGGGGGGGGGGGGGGGGGACATTTATTTATATGTCATTTCTGTTGGTTAAAAATCAAACATTTAGTAGATTTTGATAAAAAATTTGAATCCGATTGAAAAATAAAAAATTGTGAATTTTATAAAATGTGTGATTGAAAATGAATTTAAAAAGTGATAGCCATATGCTAGGGAAGTTGACTTTTAGGTAATTAGGAAGTGAAGTTCATTGAAATTAGATGACTTTGGCAAGAAATTCCAATACATAGTTGCACATTGACCAAACATAGTATACGACAGCCGAAAGCTTTTGGCAGCTAACTGGATTGTGGTAGAGAGGAATAGTTGGAGAGAAAATGAGGAAAAAAAACTAGAAAAAATGTCTACGCGTTGCTTGTGATACGTTTGATGTTCTAATTTTGTAAAGAGAGAATTTGTGAGAGTGTGAAAAATCTTGACTTTTTCATCAAACGAAGTTTCTTTTTGTGTGATCATCTAGAAATTTATTAAACCACGTTAAATTTGTGTTTTTTTTCCTTGGTTCGTTTTGTGTTTTCATTTATGTTGCATCTGTTTTTGTCTTGTGAGATTATTATTATTATTTTTTTTTTTTTCAACATCGGACTACTCCTCTAATAAGGTATACTATGAGTATTGCTGTATTGGTGTCCCTCGACCGTAGGATCCAACATGTTGTACTATATTTACCCGTGAAGTTTTGAGTTAAAATTTAAAACCATTAATACATCCCTCAATGTTCGTATATAATTGCAGTGATTTTACATTATTTTTTTGAGATTGTGTGTCATTGTTTTTAAGATTTAATTTGTTTCAATGGTCACTAAACTTAGGTCCGTGTCTTTGATTGATCACTAAAGTTTAAAATGTTAAGTTTTCGTCACTGAACTTAGGTCAGTGTCTTCAATTGCTCACTGAACTTCGATTCATGTGCTAGCTTACTTACTAAAGTTTAAAATGTCTAATTTTGGCCACTAAACTTTAAAATATGCCGTACATTTCCCACTAACATAACTGCTGAACTTTAAAAAATATCAAGTTTACAGTAAATAATATAAAGCATTTTTCAAAGTTCAGTGAGTAATATTCAATAGTTTTCAAATTTCAATTACCAAAACTCGATATTTTAAATTTCAGCGAACAATCAAAGATATACACCTAAATTTAGTGGCCAAAATTCGATATTTTAAATTTCAGTGACCAGTGAAAGACATGAACCGAAGTTCAATGACCATTGGAACAATTAACTCAGTTTTTAGTAATATATGACTGCAGATTACCGTAGAATCTTTCCTTTAGTTATTGTCACAATTGTCAACCATCACTAAGAGCCAGCACAAAGATTTTAGATGTGACAAGTGAAGGGAATGAAGGATGGGAACAAAATAAAACTTGATATTTCTACCTCTAATTCCGGATGAACTTTGATAATCGAAAATGACGGACACATCCTATGTTTCTCCGTCTCTACTACCATGTTTTCCTTGCATAGACGAGGAAACCGGACTAATTGGATGAATAAAACTCACTACAATACCTTTCAAGTCTATGAGAATATTCTTTCACCGTCCAATAGAATATATTTACGATATGCGTAAAATATGCTTATAGATTACTAAAACTAAAGGTTGAACCCCAACTTTAAATGTCCCCCACCGCCCCTGCCCTAGAGCATCATGAGGAAGGTAAATCGCAGGTTATGCTTCCAAGGGTACAGGGTGGAAGGCTGGTTGTACACTTACACTTACTCAAGAGCCAAATCCATATCTCAGGATTTGAACTCTTGACGCGGTAGCCTCAAACAAAATTGGATTTCTCCACCCCTAAAACTAGTATGTATAGATGCACGCCTAGTGTCAACAATCCCTAGATCTAAATTGCTCTTCAGACCACATCATTTTCACCAAGTAATTTTAGAGAGGAAGAATTGGGGGAGGAATCTCTCTCTTTGAGAATATTTATTATCTTCTAGTAGTGATTCTTCTGTTTATAAATTCGGTAATGCTACCGGTACATCAGAGGTACCGAAGCGTGTACCTAATGGATACGCAGCGACCCCCCATTGGAAGAAGTGCATGTGGGATAGGCGCTTCCTCCAACTAGGGGTCACTGCGTGTCCATTAGGTACACGCTTCAATACCCCCGGATGTACCACAAGTTTAATTCTTATAAATTACTGTCATCTACAACATGTATAGTTAATTTACAGATACAGTTCCCAAAGCTATAGACACCATTTACCATATAAAAAACATTTCACATAGAAGATAAAAATGCCAGCAAAAAATGGAACTTTATATGCGTTTAAAGAAAATTCTGGTAATCATAAACTAGAAGGAAAAAAAAAATAAAAAAGGGGTCGAACACGCACAAAGCAGTGCTCTTAGTGCATATTTGGTTCAAAATACTGAATGTGGACAGCCAAACACTAGAATGCACAAGATTTTTAACTTTTCCTTTCTACTATAATATTATTCAATACCATATAGTCCACACTATCAAACATGGAATAAAACAACAATAGCAATCGAGAAGATTATTTTGCACTATTGCAGTTTTACTTTTGTTGTATAAATCTGCTGAGTAAATCAAATCCAAAGCTGTCCATCAATTGTGACAAATTGTTAATACTTGTTTTCTAGATACAAAGTTAAGACTTCTTTCATGAAGTTCTTGTTCTTCTTGATTGCCCGGATCTCCATATAATAGCAGAAGGGTCTGGACAGATTTGGTATTGTATTTTTGGAGGAGGAACTTCAGGGACACTGCAACATCATCCATCAATTCAAATAATTTACATGCTCATATCATTAGAACTTAATGTTGAAACTTTCATATTGACCGCTAAGGTCTTGATGCTATTGAAAAAGAATATAGAAGTTGGGGGTTCTGTTTTCTTTTTTCAGTTATTCAATATTTTTCTGTTACAACATGCATATATGTATTAAGATCAATTCTTGAGAACAATATTACAAGAGTAATAGCAGCGAAAACGATTCATAATCCAAAGGTAATGTATACTCAAAACAACAGTCAACGCGATGACAAGTACAAGGCATTGTGACATGAAGCTATCTTATTTAGCATTTTGTTCTGCTGCTTCTTATATCATTCCTCTATTGTTACTTCCACCCCAGATGACTTGAAAAACATTCCATTTAGCAGTCGAGTATGTGCTCAAATTCATTAAGCGAATATGCTATCACTACGGAAATCGTGATATGCCCCAGTTTGAGCCTCATTCTTTGAGAATAGATTTTGTAAAAAGTGATTTTTTTGGAAAATGTATAGTTAAAAAGTAGCGAAAAATTTTCGATTTATGTGCAAAATTATTTTGTTGAGAAAATGTGTAATTTAAAATAAGTTTTAGATAATAGGACTCAAACAGGGGTTATATCTCAAATGATATTAGTCAGTTCTTTGTGTTCATACAAGTTGCACAAATTACAGCAAAACCTTTAAATTATGGAACTTGTTGCAATTTTGTCATTTTTGCTGTTTGAATATTCTTCAAGAACATAGATTTTGCAACTTCTCCTCAAATTGTCCACACTCGTAGTCTCGTACTAAAGAACATAGGGGCAAGTTTGAGAAAAATGTAAATTTGGTGAATAATTTGCATTTTAAAAATTAATTCTCAAAACGTTATTTATTCTCAGTATAAAAGTTTAAAGTGTTAATTTAGCATGTATCTCATTGCAATTACTCACAACCCCATGTAATTTTGAACATCTATTTAAAAATATCCTATTATTGACATTAGAGTCATTATTGTGAGAAAACTCAATTTCAGAATGTCTAACTAGATCAACTGAAATTGACTACCCTCGCCCCCAGCCAGCTTCGTTCCACACACACACATGCTAAACAGACACTAGACATGAAAAAGAAATATAAAGCCACAATGACCATGACCTCGATGAGCAGACATCTGTATTGTATGGAGTGGCTCAAGAAAATAATTAAAATCTTACCTCAATGTAGCTATTTCTATCTGGGTGAAGTCCATGTTTATAGAACTATCTTGTAAAGAAATTGTCCTCGCTGTTAGTGGTGTTGGTTGCTTGATAGCAAGAACCTTACAGTTCAAATTGAATGCAACGCTATTCTGGGCCATTACCAACCTATGCCAACAGAGAGGGGAAAAGAGAACAATGGTGTAAGTACAATTACAGATAAAAATTGGGGGGGGGGGGGGGACCTTTTTTTTAATAATTCAAAACTACAAAAGCAAAACGGTAGGGCTATATGAAATGGTTAAGTCAAATAAATCATCCTTCATGGAACAACAGAAGTTCGTCTCCCACTTTTGATTATTATGTGGTTACATCTATCATTTGCATCAACAAAACTTCGATTGTGTTATTACATGATACCGATTCTAACACTGGTTTTGTCATTTTAAGATTAAAGAATATAGTCTGCTAAAAAAATCTAAAGAAATATTTGGCAACTAATCATCAACAAATGCATTAACCTAAATTTTACACACTTCACAATCCATTTCTTGAAATTAAGCCACTTAATACAAAAACACGCTGTAAAATATTGTTTCACCGACTAGGATGAAGATGAACAAATTATTCCATTCACAAGCCAATAATAAACAATCAGTGACAATGATTTAATTTTCTTTGGTCGTTGGGTGGGAAGGAAAAAGCCTGATGAACGTTGACCAACACAGAGTGAGTCGTCCTACCCACTCGGCGTGAGTAGTGTCGTTAATTAAGTGGTTATTTGATTCGAGTGGGCCGTCACACTGAAGTCAAAACAAATGTTGATAAAATTACCTGTATAAAAAGCTCCGATCATGAAGACCCACAACGAGAGTGGAGGCCCCAATTTCTCTCACCATAGCCGCAATTCTTCGACCATCTCTATCCCCTTCCGTCACAACAATCTCAGTCTTTGTCTGCAACAGTCAGTTTTGCATCATAAAAATCAATTGGGCCGACGATTTTGCACGATATACATGTAATTAAATGGGTAAGAAAGATTACTACATACATTGAGGAAGGAATTGCATATTTCTCTGAAAGAGAGAGCCAATTGGAAGCCTTTCAAGCGGAGGAGCCTGATTTTCTTCTTGCTTTTGGATGATGTAGTGGTATATACGTGAAGAAGTGTAATCAAATCCCCAAAACGAAAAATATTGTGAAGTGCCCATTGGAGTGCAGTTCTTGCCACCTCCACATCTTCCACAACCACCACTATTTTCCGAGCATCCATTCCCCCTCAGCTCCAACCCTCGCTTCCTCAACCTCTCGTTCCTCAATCACTAATTTACGTGCAGGGTTTGATTAGCAGAATCGAATGAATTTATTCGTCTAAAGTGTTCTTACAAAGTAAGAGAAGCAGCTGAATTGTAAATCTCTCTCCTCTCTCTCATGTATGAGTGGATGGGATCATGCGAGAGGGTAGAAATGTGTTTAAAAATGGAAGAGAGATGAAACGTGCACCACATAGCAGGCTGCAGATACAGACGTAATGTAAATTATATTTTTCAACAAAAAAATATAAATATCTTTTTTTATATCCATAAGAAATAAAAATAGATTTAGATTTTTTATTAGAGAAAAGTTTAAATTTAGATCAATCGAGATCTAAATGAGAATGCATAAATAATATTGAAAAATCATATATCAATTTTACGTTCAATTTTACACTACGATTGAAATTACTTTTAATCTATGCTCTGTTTAGTTGTGATTAAAATCTAAAATTTTAATTTAATTCAAAATTATCAATTAATTTTAATTACATATTTCATCAATTTTTATCAAAATTTATTAAAAATATAATTGTAATTCACACAAAAAAAAAAAGGCTAAAGCTCCATTTATCCCAAAAATAAAAAAAGAAAAAGAAAAAAGAAGTCACTATTCTAAAACCTGTTTTCCTCCAAAATTGGGGCTCGGGCCTAGTTTTACTGCATTCTTTCATTTTGGTGATTCCTTACAAAATATGTAAATAAGATGTAAATCTTTTCAAACAGAAAGTAATTACTTTTTCTTGTGAAGGACATATATAATCTTCCTAATACTATTTTCTTTCGTTATTAATAAAATGTAACATCTAATGTGTCAAAAAACCTTTAGAAGTCAGTTAATATGTTGTTCTGGAAACTTGCAGTAACAGTCTCTAATCTCTTCATTTTTTTCAAATTTTACCCTAACTTTTATTTTCTGCCAACGAAGGTACCTAACCTTTCATAAATATGCACTTGAAGTCTATCTGGACAGAAATCATCCAAAACACCATCAGTTGATCGACAAAATTAAGGAATCAACGTCCAAAAACACCGTCCAGAGAGGTATCTACATTGAATTAAACTGTCGTTGTAAAAGATAGTACAAGAAATTTTGTCGGTCAACTGACAGTATTTTAGACGGTTTCTGTCCAGATAGATTTCAAATGCATATTTATGAAAGGTTAGGGACCTTCACTGGCATAAAATGAAGGTTAGGATAAAGTTTACAAAAAATGAAAAAAATAAGGACCGCTACTGCAATTTTCCCTATTTTGTTTGAGGAATGTTGGGTTCATTGGACAATCCACGTAATAATAGGGTTCATCGCACAAAACACGCTTAGAAAAAACACGATATTCGTGCCAAATGCTGAAGTTATGCTTGTGTCGTGCCATTTTGGACAATATTCCATAATATCTCACCCAATGCAACTTTTGATTAATATATTATTAAAAGGTTATTTAACTATAATTAATTCCTGGTCCACTCAATTCAATATTTATTTGAAACCTCGTAGTCGTCACTTGCCTTTAATTATACATATTCAATTTCACTAATCATATTAAAAATAATTTTTCTCCCTTTCCAACAATTTTTATTTCGATAATACCACCACGATAATAACTTTATTAATTTCAAACTAATCTAAGTGTTATGTGTACGTTTAATATAATTTCAAATGAGTATTTCGTATAATGTGACGAAGGTACTAAATTTTGGTGGGGTGGGGGGGGGGGGGAAATTA